CCTCTATATCCAGCATGCATTGTCGGCCTCACGTTTATGTGCCCAGGGCCTAACCAACTCGGGGCCCTGGGATTTCTGCATTTGCAGAGCTCCGAAACTCGGTGCACACCAACCAACTGGCGTGCTGCAACTGTATGGACCCCACTTCGTGAAATGTTTGCACAGAGGGCTCTTGTTGATTTGCTGGCCCGCCTTCACTTAGGGCGGGCACTAGGCTTGCTGGGGCCTTAGCCCAGAACATGTACATCATGGCAAGGCCCCTTCTTGAGGGCTCRATCCTCACAAGTACTASGCTCGTGGMCCAAACAAATTTTCAGATCAGATACGGCGTTATAGAATCTGGAATTTGACCCGGCGGAATGGGAATGGGCACWGGACAAGGATAGAAATATCGAGGGTCATATCCCCATACAAAATTATACAGTCAAATTTGGATACAAACTCCTGGTCAGAACAAAAAATCCAGATCCCATAATCAAGGCCAGATGGCTGAAACTCCTAGGTCCTGATGCTGACAGACTCACACACATTCCGTGGAAAAAATTTAAGACCATCAGAGTGATCAAAATCAGAAGCCTACAGTGGCTGATTMCATACGCTGCGCTGMCARTAAACCGATGGCTCCACATACGACGCCACAAAAACRACSCTACTAGTTCAGACCTATGTTCAGTCTGTTCCGAAGGAGTGCAAGAGGACGTGATTCACTGTCTTATTCATTGTAAGGAAGCAACAGAGTACTGGGCACRGGCTTCAGCGCTCTGCGACTCCCTCTTTCAGACCCCCTTCCCTGAACTACCTATCCAACTTCTCCTCTGGACTGACATTCCCGACCAGCTCAAGAAGACAGAAAGGATGTGGCCTCATCAGGAAGGTGATGCTATGGATCATCTGGAAAGAGAGATGCTGCAGAACCATCAAAGGGTTGTCCAACCCAAGARACAAGGTATGGGTGGAGACGAGAACACTGCTGCAAGGTTGTGTTTTCTGTGTTTTGTTGTMTGTGCTGTTGCTGTGTTTTTTTCTTAACGCATTGAGGTGCGATGACGTGCTGATTTCTGCTGCCGTGACTAACGGCGAGGTTGTACCCTGTTGCGTGTGCCTGTTGTGTTTTGCAGCGTGCTTTGCTGTGTGTGCGTGCAGAGTTTTGGGTCACACTGAGGCCTATACGCTGTTCTAAAAATAGACCGGTTCCGGCCCTGCGATTGCAGGCCCAGTCTTCCCCGACGTCATAGAGGCCCTAAGGGCCTACAGTGGGTAGAGCCCGTAGCTGGGAAGGGCCTAGAAGCCCTAAGTCGAAACGGTACCGGTAGAGCAGTTTCGGTCTAGTAGCTCTAGGGTAGAATCTAGAAATAGGACAGGCCGAGTAGGTTTAGGACTTTTGGCAGTTCATTTCTCGCGAGCAGCGTTGGAGAAGCCAAGCGAGTTGGTGGCGGTACCTGTCTACCGGCGGCATCCTGAGACAGACCGTAACAGCAGCCATAGCCGACCCTCTCTGAGATTGCCATAGCTGGGGCATCCTCAGYKCATCTACCCYTGGGGGTATCTGCGTATGGTCGGGCTACGTTGAGGCTCTACACTGAGTGGTTCGTGGGTGGTGGCAGCCATAGCTGCCTGTTCCTTCGTCAGAGTTGTCCAGCGGCACTGAAGACTTCATCGCAGGACCTGTTCTTCATCAGGGTGGTTGGCGCTGGCCTCTGGGAGGCTGTTCTGATGCAGCGCTACTAACTGGGTGTAGGATAGAGAGTGGGGTGCGAGTTCTGAGTGTGGCGAGATACTGGAACAAACTCTGTTACGATAATAGTGTGAGTGGCTCATCATCAATGACAGTTTCAATTGTGATCTTCGCAGGTTCTTTCTTGTGATTGGTTGTTGGGAGTTGTGTCAGAGAGTGAGAAACACTGTGTGTCTTCTCCCCTGCTGTGCATAATTGTCTTCCGCTGTTTATCCCTACCTGTGTGAAGTGTGGACTCTGTCTCCTCTCTCCCCTTCTCTTATGCATGTATGGGCATGTGTGAGACTGTCTGTGTGTGAGTGGCGAGAAAATTCGCCGAGACAACCAAGTTCATAACTGTTGGTATCGGACCGAGATTGGAATTGGAGCACTGAGGGTTGAGCGCACTGAGGCATCTTCTTCATCCTGGCGACATACTGGCGAGAGTTTCATGGCGATTTACCTTCCCCAGTACTTAGCCAGCAGGGAAGAAGACTTTCAGCGGTGAATTCAAGTGTTCAGTGGCTGCACTGAACAAGCGCACTGAGCCTGTCAGGGCGCTTGGCAAGGAGTGGCGAGTACAGGGCTAATTCGCCATAGCCAACCGTGAGGGTGATACAACTAATTACCCCAGAGTGGTGAGTTACCCCTGAGGACATCAGGGAACCCTGAGCGGCATCATCCCTGGGTGGCGCTGATAGAGATTGATGCTGTATATCAATGTCCAGGAGGAATAACCCCATCCGGGGCTATTTTTAGTATCAGCGGCTACCTGGCACTKTGGCGAGATATTTTGGAGTTGGCGAATTGGGTGCCACAGTACCAGATACATGGTATCTGGAGTGAAGGGGTGCAGCGCCACAAGATCCTGAAGAGGATCAACAATTTTGAGGAGGTTTTGTGCGTGGGATTGTGTGGGAGAAGCTCTGGAGGAAATTGGCGAGATCAGGGTATCATCAGCCATAGCCAGATCTTCATCATGAACTGCAAGATTCTCTGCAAGTGAGTCCGTTCCATGCACCTGCCTGTATTGCGATCCAGATAGTAGTAGATTAGTGGAAGAAAATGGTCTATCTGTCTGCCAGTGACTGGATATGAAAATCGCAGACTGCATGACAGCCATAGCCATCTTTCCCCTACCTCTCTCTGCTCATATCTCATCCTCTGTTGACTCTTTCTAATCCAAATTGGTTATGTGACTGCTATAYTGTATTGMGATTGTCCTGGGAGGCTCAAACAGGGAATTMTGTACTGAAAGGTAGTGATACTGTGAAKTATAGTTTTGCGTYGAGTCTATTTTTAGCCTGTGCTATCTAGGGTMAGTCATAACTTCAATTCTGTCCATCAGAATTCAGTTCTGTCAGTCCCCAGTAAATCGCAAATTGARAACAGTCAGTACTGTCAAATYGCAGAGTTGGATTTCTAGTATTTCACAGGATACAGTGAAATTTGTGATTCGCCATACCCTAAGGTATGGCCGCCAGAGTCATCAGGGTCTGAAATTGAGTCTGAGTCAGGTTACAGGGTATCTGTCTGCATCGCTTGTTGTATTTGACCTCTCTGTGTCTGTACTAACCATTTCTGTCATTCCCACTGATTACTTTTGTTTTCTAGTGGACACCGGAACTTCTAGTGGGTCTTTGGAAGACTAGTGGAGTGACTGTGTTGCTTCCAGTGTGGTCCAGGGTCAGTAAAAGGAAATCGTGTGACTGATTTTGCTGGACTTACAGTCTGTCTGACACCTGACCCCAGAGACACCCTTCTAACCCCAAACCGTTGATTGCCTACTCACCCACCTACTCCAGTGTTGAGTGCTGCAGCGATTCCAGGGTATCTGCAGGAATCTGTGCATCGCTGCAATTCTTTCTGCTGTTATTTTATTTCTGGGTTTTATTTGAACTGGGAAAATGTCCCAACAAGGGGATGAGCAGCAGCCACATGTGCAGGTTGTGGTGAAGGCAGAAGGTGAACAACCTTCTGCCTCCACTGCACCCCCTCCATCTCTGACTGCTACTCAAAGGTTGAAGAAAGAGGCAGAGGAACAGCTCAGACTGCAACAGGCCAGAGTGGCTRAATTGGCACGRCAGGAGGCTGCTGAGCTAGAGGCTGCAACAGATCACTCCAGGAGAGAGTATCTGTTGCAGCAGCTAGACAAGTCTCTCGCTGATGATCGGTGCTCCCAGGTCACCAAACATATGGCTGAGATGATCCTGTTGGAGCATAAGATCACCAGCTCCCAGTTTACAAACTGGGATGATCATTTTGTGCGGCTGGAGCGTCGGGTTGACGAGCTGTCAGCTCAGCAATCCAAGATCCTGGACTCTATCCACGGCTTGTCTACTCAGCTGGCAGCCGCCAAGCTGATTACTCCTCATCTCCCTCTGTTGAAACCCAAAACCTCTACTCCTCCTTCACCACCTCCTTCCCCTCCTACATCCCATGGGGGATCTGTACATTCTTCCCGGTCATCTACTCCTTCCCAAAAGGCCTCAGCGAAGGCCACCTATGCTGCTGTGACTGCAGCAGACAGAGGTCCCAAGATCCCTGCTCCCAACAAGTTCAGGGGCGATGACCCCAAGACTGATGTTGGGGACTGGGTTGCTGGGACCAGAGCCTACTTGAGGGGCTTTGTCTGTGCAGAACAGACCAAGGTGGCAACTGTTTTGGGGCTGCTGGAAGGGCCTGCACTGAAGTGGGCCACTTCAACTTCCAGCAGTCTGCAACAGTCCATGGAGGACTGGGCCTTTGGGTTGGGGGTAGACAGACTTCTGCAGGCCCTGGATGACCGGTTTGCAGACAAGGAGCGGGCCCGCAAGGCTGCCGACAGGATTGCTCGCCCGGGACAGCAGCGGTACAACGGCACCCTACAGGCCTTGTTTGTTGAGTTCGAGCAGCTCACCTCCACCCTTGGACTGGTCACGGCACCTGATGATATGCTGACCAGTTTTTGCAGGGCAGCTCCTGACAAGTTTGCTGTTGCACTTTACAGCGCTGGGTACAAGGACTGGAGGTCCTTTGGTCGTGCAGCCCTGGAAATGGAGGCCAAGCTCCACGTCCAGGCCCCAACCTCTGAAAGGAGGAAGGGTGCCTTCCCTAGAGGCAACAGGAGGGGAAAGGCAGCCCTTACTCATGCGGGATCTGCCTCAGGATCAGATACCGATTCTCAGCCTGATGTGCCTTCAAGTGGGATCGGATCTGCTGCTAAGACAGATGTTGCAGCAGTGGTCACACGCTGTGTTGGGAGCTCTGCAGTCGCAGAGAAAGTTTTTTACCCCCACAGCCTCAGCCACTACCAAGGGGAAGGATAAGGGACGTCGTCCTTCCTCTTCCCAGCGCCCTAATTTGCCTAGAGACGTCCACATGCCAGCTGACCCTCTCAATCCCTCCACACTCCCCTGGCATGACCTCAAGATCCAGGAGGGAGTCTGGAGAAGAAGAAAGGAGAGAGGGGTTTGCCTAAGGTGTGAAGGCCAACACTTCTTGAAGGACTGCCCTTACATGCCAAGCCCAGGTAGTCAGTCAAAAAACTGAAACAGACCCTGGGGACTGCAGTTCCCCACAGTGCTGCACCTTCATCTGCTGAGGTAGGTGAATCTGCAGTTGTTTCAGTTGAGGCTGCATGTGATGATGTATGTCTGGGGACTGCGTGGGCAGCATCCTTCGTTATAAGGATCCTGACCCGGATCAGGGATTAGAGGGGCATAAGGCTCAGATGATTGCTCCCTTTTCCTTCATCTGAAGGGACAAAAGGGAAACCAAATCTGAACTCATCCTACCCTACCCTCGATCCATGAGAGAGGTGGAAACCACAACTCCTTTCACCTGTGTTGATTCACATTCTGAATCTTCACTGTCTCTCGTTCTTGTGGGAGTTGTAGTTGTCAGTATTTGTAGGCGCAAATTCTGGCAACACTCCATGTCCTGATCAGGGTTAGCTGAGAGTCAACAATCTTCCCTCTTCCCGACATTGTGTAGTGAGTGCCATTGTCCCAGGCTTTCAACCTTCTACCCCGGGCTCCTTATCTGTTTGATAAGTTGAGCACCAACAAATTTATTGTTGATAGCCTGGATGATAATTAGTTATGCTTCTTGTGGTGAGATTACTTATCCTACCCGTGATCTCTTACTGCAGCCCTTCAGTTCTACTGACCGACTTGCATCCGGTTTATGTCTACTAAGGGGTACACACCCGGTCCGACGACTATAGCCAGCAATTCCGAGTTTCCTTTCTACTGACATCCCAGTTTACTATGGAGGTCAGGAGTATAGGAACTCTATTGCGGCAATAGGGTGTCGTTCACGGATCTCAACTTTTCAGAAGTGATCGATTGCGTAATAGTCAAAAACTAGGTTATCCGTGGTTCTTGATGCAATCGAGACCAACTGACACTTTGAGGTTGCCTCCTCCTGACCTTATTGCTACAGCACAGGTCAAGGGCATAGGTTACCCTGTGAGTATCTCAGGTTTTCCTCTTCAGGCAAGAGTGTTATCTCCATAACTCCCTTCATCTGCTGGTTCATTACCAGAAAGTGAAGCGTGGGCGCGGAGGTCCGTTCTCCCCGGGGGGGTAAGTATGTRATGAAACCTGCAGATTCTCAATGGACTGTATATTAGGCTGAGGGCGAAGCTTGGGGCWTGCCTCGGTCTGGTCGCGTCGTAGGTTCGACTTCCGCTGTTTATCCCTACCTGTGTGCAGTGTGGACTCTGTCTCCTCTCCCCCCTTCTCTTATGCATGTATGGGCATGTGTGAGACTGTAAGTGTGTGAGTGGCGAGAAAATTCGCCAAGACAACCAAGTTCATAACACCTGAGTAAGCCATGCAGAAGCACTGCCGCAGCGACTTGTGCRAGGTGGTCTGCAGTGAGCCCGAAGACGAAGTGGGCGAGAAGGAGAGTTTACCCATAGTGATAGGGGTAGCAGTGGCCATAGCMGCCATAGCTGATAGAAGAGTGTAGCGTGTGTGTGTGTGCGTGTGTGTACAATTTGACGTGTGTGGGATATCCAGGGTGATCCTGTGTGTGAACAAAGAGTTGGGTGAGTGACAAACAAAGGGTTGTACAAGCGCTAATGCGCCATAGCCATTTGCAGTGAGCTCGTATCTGAACTGTGTTCTTGGTTACTATATCTCTGAGTTTTGAGTGGGCGCTTGTCGCCAGTTTGCTGCGCAACCTGTTTACATGCATGTGGAGTGTGAACGAAAGTGAGTCTGATTGCAACACTTTCAATTTAGACATTATTTTAGTGCCCACGCAAAACACCGCAGACAGACAGAAAACACTTTCAATTTAGGCACTATTTTAGTGCCTAAAGCATAGAGTGCCACAGACTGAGAACTCTGCTCTTTTCTGAGTTTTGCCGCGGGACTGTGGGACTTGCTGAGATTCCCGCATTCTGCTGAGATTTCTAAATGAGTGTGCATAATTGCTGAGTTTCTGTGTGTTTGTCTGACTGCATGATTGCTGGGGTGCGTGTGTGACTCGCCAGGGTACTTGTATGCTGACTTACCTGTGGCCGTGCTTTTGTGGGGTTGGAGCAGGAACTTAGCAGTAGACAAGGCCCACGTAGGTTGGAAAACACCAAGTAGCAGGTAGGTAGGCAGAAGAAGACAAAAGGTTAGTACCGTAGGCTTACAACCTAGGGGTACAGGTCCAGTAGTCTGAGTCTAGGGCCTGCAGTGAGGGATATCAGACCGCAATGATGTTTTTCCCCGAAATCGGAGAAGGGACCCGTCGCTTGGGAGGCCGTGCGGATTGGAAAGCCTCCGCTCGAAGAGGTATTAGTCCGGTATATCTTGAGGAAGAGCGAAGCACTCTTCCTCATTTGCAGCTTCGCAAGTTGTGCGACACGCTGCTTGGGTGAGCACTCAGTGTGGTAGCACTGGGGAGGAAGAAGGCGGGCTTGGCCCTCCACCTGGCTATGGTGGGGAGGACCACGAAGGAAACCCCGGGAGGAAGGAGTAGCAGGAGGATGGTGAGCAAGGAGGAGAGTGGTGGTGGTGCTTGGCGGTGGTGGTCTGCATCTTCATCTTGTAGGTTGGCACTGCACCTGGAAGGCCCCAGTCGGGGTTGGCTTACACAAGGAGGACTTCGGGGTAGAGTTAGGCATGGTAGCCATAGGAGGAAGGGCACATTAGCTTGTTGTCCTTTGAACATGGATCATTTCTCCATTAGTCCGCCACAGCCATCTACTCGGCCAAGGAGGAAGGTGTATGAGATGGCTACGATGGACCTCTTGAGTGGTTGGCAGTAAGGAGAGGATGCGGGCATTGGTTCTGGTTCATTCTTTCTTTCTTTCTTTCTTTCTTTTTTTTTTTTTTTTTTTTTTTTAACAAAAAAACAAGGCCTTATGGTCCTGGCTCCTTTTCCATTCTGGGGAGCATCAGTCCGGTTCCTATTCCACCGGCAAGTCACAGAAACAATACATAATAATTACAGACCCCACGCTTCCTTCCGCTTGGCCGAAGGACCCCTGGCCAGCATTGATTGCTCCATTTACATGGAGGATTGACTGTCAGCTTGCCATGCTCCACCTTTTCCTCTCGGGTCTACTATAGAGACCTGCCATATGTAGCTTGAAAACGGAGAAAGGTTAAGCCTTCTCCCACACCCCCTATCTTTACTTGCCCTGTACACCCTGTTTTTGATCGGTAAAGTAGGGGACCTGCCGGACACAACTATTTTTAGAAAATTAGGTGTCGGTCAGCCACATGCTGTGGTAGGACTTCACTAGGGAGTTCTAGTGCAGATAATGTTTGCCTAATTGATGAACGGGTCAAACATCGATGAGGGAACAGTTGACGATGCAAGACTGACACGTTCGAGATCACGTAGGATCCCGCACGCGTTTCAGGCCCTACAACCGGGAGAAGAATGACGGCTTCGTGCCGAACGCAGAGCCCGTGCACTAGCAGCAGCTAGGGAAACAGTGAACGCCGCAGCTAGGGAACAGGCTGCAGCATCAGCCAGGGCAACAGCCATGGCTTCCGCAGCAGCATCCTCTGCTGCGTCCTCGGCTGGGACCAATGGGACCCAGTTGGGAATGCCCACAGGGTTCACGGGTACTTCCAGTTCAGTAGGTTCTCGACAGTCTACAAGTCAAATGGCGGGCTCGCAGTTCAGCCCGTTGACCCCACGCGAAAGGGAGCTTCNAAATGGCGGGCTCGCAGTTCAGCCCGTTGACCCCACGCGAAAGGGAGCTTCGAGAGCTCCAACAGGTCGAAAGGATCCGTGAACGATTAGAGAGGGAACTGAAGCAAGCAACCGATAGAGAAAGAGAAATCAAAAATAGAACAGYCAGGCTTGATACGTTAGAGGCAGRCAAGGCTGAGTTAGAGAGTTTGGATGAGTCAGGACTGTCTGACCCAATGAAAGTATTGAAGAACAATATGCTGTCGCTGCATGCGCACGTGGACAGTCGATTGGACTTTATGCAGAACTCCCTAGACCWGATCTTGAACCTTTTACAAAGGCMAGGATTTAGGCCACCAGCRCAGTYGCCGTTGYCGTTAACGGCGATGTCAGRCCCCTTTCCTGTACAAGCTRGCACACAACCAAGTGGCACGTCTGCAGCAGTCTCACAGACTGTTGCTTCTTCYTTTTCGGGTCCAGCGGTGGTAGCTACACCACCACAACAACCTGTTCCTCAACAAGGACAGCCGCAAGGTCTATGGTACCCTAGGACCCCTATGAAACCGCCTCTTGCCTTCTCAGGCGAGAAGAAGGATGAGGAACTCAACACTTGGTTGAGAACGGTTCCAGTATGGGTAAGGGCGAAGAGGACTTTGCAGGAGGAGGAGGTGATTACTGCTACATCTTACCTCGAGGGTAAGGCAGCCAAATGGCTAGATSGTTTAGTTGCAAAGGCCRGGTACGRACGACGCATGGCGGACTGGGCTAGGACAATKACGTTAGACCAGTTCATGGAAATGGTAGAAGCTCGATGGCACAATCCACARCAGGYGCAAATGACCACTGATGCGATGCATAGACTAGACCAAYGAAAGTTCAAGTCGGTCAGAGAGCTTACGACTACCGTTGAGAGCCTAATCGTCGTTCCTGGCATCAACTACGATAACCAGTTCCTCTTGACCACATTTGTGAGATGTCTTCCGGAGAACCTCAGGCTCGCCTCGAGTATCACTCATTTGAGACATTATCTAGAAAAGCCTTAGACTTAGAGGCCACTCTAGGAAATGTTCAACCTACCCAGAATGACGCGAGGAAGAAGAAGAGTCCACAGGAATGGAAGAAGAAGGGGGCTAAACTGATGATAGTTGAGTCCGATGGGACTCAAACAGAGATCGACGAGCTCACCGACCTGTTGGACGTTTCAGAGTTGGACGGCGAGGAGATCGTTGAGGGTAGCACCCTCGCCGCAGTAGTTAAGGCTAAGGCAGGTGGCCGAATGAAGGGCCATCAAAAGAGTCAAGGGAAGGTCGCCTCCAATCAGACCAAAGTTGCTGATTGGGTCAAGGCAGGTCTTGATCAGGAAGTGTGGCGGGACCGCCGAGTGCGTGGTGCTTGTATTAACTGTGGTGAGTACGGACACACCCCGTACAAGTG